CGCGATGATGCACGCACCATGGCACAATTTATGGTGCGCGGTGGAGCGCGAGCGCGATCGCGCCCCTTAAAAATGAAAGCCTGCGACGCTCCATTTAACTTGTTAAATTTACTGGACCGAGAGAGATTTTGGTGGTCTCGGATCACGGTCCTCCGCCGAACGTCGAAGACTGATGCTTACCCGGCTATTGCAAACCCCGGAACGCCCTTAAAATAGGTACATCATTGGCACGTGCTATCCCAGAATATGAATCCGAATCAAGACGCTGTTACAGCTAATTTGAACCGGTGTTGCTACGCGTGTTTAGGTACATAGAGATGATAACGCATTAATTAGTGGGCGGCAAACAGGAGATCGAAAGAATTCACTTATTTTGTCAAGTTATAACAGCACAACTTTTTTTAAAGTTTGTTGGTGGTAATTGGTCGCAGTGAGTATTAACATTAGCAATTGCACATACCTTGGTCAATTCTAAACGTAGTCATTCAATTATCGTAGAATGTAGAAAATTGCGAATATCTCTGTTGAACTTGTTAGTAATTTTAGTAAATTCTGTGATTATTTTCACGGTGAGCATAGAGAGACTTCTCGGTTATTAAATAGATGTGAGTTTGGTTGGATTTAATGGGCAGTTAATTATGTTGTAATCCCTTTACGGTGGTGCCTGTCCGTAACCCTGACTGTATCCTTTAATTAGATTGTATATATTGGTATCTGTATCCCTAAGCCTAAGGTACGTGTAATTTTATTCCTGCTTTCGTTTGTAATTAATGATTAATGTATTAAAAATTAAATCTAAATTTGAAGTTGCCCAAAACTACTGAAATGTCTGAAACAATCAGTAATGAAAGTAGTCTGTTAATCCTCTGTGGCTTTAGCCTCTATAGCTTTGTGACTTTTATCTGTTCAGCTTTTTCTTTATACAATAATGCTAGTGGCCCCTGAATGAACAGTATTTGATTGTTACTGTTGATCGTATCTAAGCTACTGTTTGTTATATTGCAGCTGTAAAAAGGTTGATGCGCGAAGCAAAGGAGCTGCAAGAACCAACAGAGCAATACTATGCACAACCACTAGAGGTTTACATATTTTTTGAAAATTTTGATAGCATTAGCTAATGTATTATTGATTACAGTTTTTAGCTCATCTGACATAGTCAGATGCAGCTTGTAGAATCGCATGAGCGTGCGTGCGTCCGTGCGTCCATCCGGCCGTGCGTTCGGGCGTCAACAGTTGGGCACAAATCTTAACCGCTCGACGTACGGTCACGATATTCGGGACGTGTGGGGGTAATCCGAAAACGAGTTGGGATGTCGAAGCTGGGGGTCAAAGGTCTAGAGGTGTAAAAGAAGGAACATTCCCTCCTTAACTTAAGGTATAGGGAGGAAATGCAGAAATTGGCGGCACAAATCTAAACGGCTCGACTAGGCTCGGGATAGTCGGTGTATAGCATCATGGTAGGAAAAGCCATCACTGTGCCGAAATTGGAGGTCACAGGTCAAAGGTCAATGGGGCACAGGGCAGATTTTAGACATTTTCTGAGGACATGGTCTGACGGAGCGATTGAAACACTTTTTGTTCAGCGGGACCTACCATTTTTATGGGCTTTATTGAAAGACCATGAAATGTACTTTCTGCTGACATGCGAAGAGAGTAAGTGTCGGGATAATCTTTTGACCCTCAAGAGGAGGTTAAACATTGATTTGTTGACGCGTGAACAAAGGACTGAACTGATTTTGCTATTATTTAGAGCCCATACCTGTGTGAATGTGAGGCTACAGTTGTACAGTTGAATTGCAAAAGGCAAATGTTTGTTGACAAGTTTTATGCTCCTTAAATCATATTATTTTCTAAAGCAGTCTGTCTATAGCACCCTGAAGGCTAAATAACGTGAATGCTCGCGGTGGGTAGGCAAAACACGGGGCAGCCATGGCTGCACGCTTCTAATCATAAATTTTGTTGACTGCCAACCTGGCAATGCACAGTCGTCTGCAATGCATAGAAGATTAGGTGGGTGGCGAAAGTGTAGCTGATATATTTGTTCGAATTGCTACGAAAGTCAAACAGAATAAAGAAGACTTATGTATAAGACGTCTTGCTATGCACAAGACACGCAGACACCAGATGAGGCCTCGTCGCACTGCGGCACTTTGTTTTGTTTGAAATGGGTTAGTCTGGCAAATAATGACTATGTTTGAATAGTGGCTTCTATTTCAATTTGTCTGTATATAAGTTTGTTGTTTGTGTTGTATGCCATGTCATACCTCAGTGAAGCTCACCAAATTGATTATTGTTGCATAGATTGAACAGTATTTTCCCCATTTTGTAAGGCACAATCCATGTTTACTTGGTTTCCTAGGCATGCTTATGTGATACTCTTACCAGAATCATAATATTGAGTTATTAAACCTGAATCATGTATATATGATAGGACAACTGTTGTTGAATGGCACTTCACAGTCCGAGGACTCCAGAAACAGAGTTTCAAAATGGTATTTACCATGGTAGGATCATTCTACCACCAGAGTATCCAATGAAGCCACAAGCATCATAGCTGTTAACGGTAATTGTTTTCTGCATTAAGTCATGCTTAGTTCAGGCCTTAATTTCTAAAAAATAACTTGTATAAATGTTGTTAGTGTTTTGTTGTTTAGATACATCCATTCCGTTTAGAGTGAGGCAACTTCTTAACTACTGCATTAGTATTAGGTTTTAGTCCTTTGTCAATAGTAAACATGTCTCTATGTTGTGAAGGTGTGCAAATTCATTTTAAATGTAAACACACTGTATTTTTTGGTATTTGTTCCTAAGTAAATCAGTTCACTTCATCGATTCTGGTAATTATTTTATTGGCAAGGTACCTAGTTATATCTGAGGTTTGTGCTTAATAATATTTTGTTTCTGATATTTTAATATATAGAGTGAGGAAGGTTTGAAACAATGAAAAAGATATGCCTGAGTATATCTGGACATCATCCTGAGTCGTGGCAGCCATCTGGTCAAGTATGCTATCAAAATTAATTGTTTCCGTACTATTAGAAGATATTTGCAAATCTAAGTTGAGGTAAGGGATAGTGTTTGCTACTTTGGTAGACCTTGAAAAAAGCATTGTTTTAAGTGCTATCTTCAGTTAAAATATGTTTTAAATGACACATTGCCCTAGGTTCATCGCATATTTTAAGTTAAAATAGGTTTAAATTATGCTACGTAAAATTTTCATTGTTCAATAGTCATTCGAAATTTTTTTTTTATGTTTTAAAACTACAGCTGTATCGATGCTTGCAATGACGGTGGCGCACTACTAGCCATCCGCTTTCAAATTTGCACATAACAACTTTTTGGGCTGAAGTCTATAGACTTATTTATTATTTGTTAATTGAGAGGAAGAAGAGCTGTACTATCTTATAAAACAACTTTAAAAAGTTTCAGGTTGTAATATGGCCGAATTTGTCCTTAATTAAAATCGTTCGATTTAAATAGAAGTTTGTTACCTCCGCCAGGGGCCTTGGCGAGGTTATGTTTTCACCGGGCGTGTCTGTTGAGTGTTGGTTTGTGTGTTACATGCACGTTTCAGTTCACTTCCGCTAGGTGCGCTGGCTGTAGACTTACAAACACGCAACCACAGGCTAAGGGCAACCACCAGTTCTCCCCCACCTGCACGCTCGCACTAATCCGGATCCAATTAATTAATAATTAATTTTTCCACTTAATTAATTAATTAAAAATTTCACATTGAGAGAATTCAGCTGCCTTGGCGGAGGTCTGTGCTCTCCGAGTGCTCTAGTTATAACTATAATTGCACTTTTGTGATTAGACTTCGGTCTGTAACGTGCAAAATAAATCGGAAAAAGCGCAACTTTGTCAGGGTGGCAGCACAATCGCGGGGTGTCATGACAGCAGCAGAAAATTTAGATTTTGAAACTTGGTGTTGCTTTATGACAAATGCGAATGCATGATTATAGAAATTTGTAGGTATATACAGGGGTAGAAATTAACTTTTGAACACGGAAGTCCAACGGACTCCCTACCCTCAAAAAGAGGGAGTCTGCAGCAAAATGAGGGAGTCCAATTTTCTTTGGACATTAGCTGAAAAAATACGGTAATTCCGCGAGGCCGTGCACTGGAACGAACTAGTTAGTGTGGCAGAATTTTCAGGGAGTCACACGGACTCCTGCATATGTAAAATCAGGGAGTCCGGCAGTAAATCGGGGAGTATTTCACTCTGGACTCACGTTAAATTCGCACCCTGTATATACTTTTATTTATGTTTTTATTATCATAATATGCACTAAAATTCTAGGATATAGTTTCCCTTTAATTGTCTTGCGTACTTATTTTTATTGTTCAATAATAATTAGACGTTAACTTTTCATTGATACGTTCCAATTGGGGCATAGTTGTATTTATGGTTGGCAAGTTTGCTTGTGTTGCCTTGCAGTGTTGATATGATTGGAGATGTAGGTGCTTATTTTTTCACTTTATACAGCAGATTGCAGTGACAAAAGGTTTGGAGTATTTCATATTTTATCCATACTATTCTGTGTTTCAGTCAGAACAGCATTGTTAGCAATAATTGGGTTTATGCCAACACCAGGTGGTGGTGCGATTGGTGCACTTGATTACACACCTGATGAAAGAATGATCCTGGCTAAAAGGCAAGTTTTGTCATTAGTTGTTCATTCACACCTGAGCAGGTGCAGCAGTTTAATACACATCAAGAGTACATGATGGGAGAAGAGTATAACACCGTTTTAACAGCGTTTTGCATAGTTTTCAACTTGAAAATATTCTATCAATATGTGAATAAATATATTCAAACTTTACCTTGTTTTCGTCTATGATTCTCCCTTAATCATATGACACCACCAATTTACCTGAAAATCGTATGTGTTCTTCAAAAAAGTTTTTTGAATATGACACAGTTTTTCCAACCATTCGCATCTCTTTGACCAAACTTTGTTATCGGATTAGTGTTCTATTGTCTATGACAGAACGCTGGGGGCTGTTGGGGATATTAGGCATCAAATTGTATTCAGCCTGTATTGCGTTTCTAGCGTGCTAAAAATAAATGTGTGCTCACGGCGAGCTAGCAGCTGATTTTAGCTGTGTTGCCATCGGTGTTCCTGATGATAAGGAAGCGAAACAAGTGCTGTTACTGTGCTTACCTAATATCCCCAACAGCCCCCAGCGTTCCGTCATAGGCAATAGAACACTAATCCGATAACAAAGTTTGGTCAAAGAGATGCGAATGGTTGGGAAAACTGTCGTCGTATTCAAAGAACTTTTTTGAAGAACACATACGATTTTCAGGTAAATTGGTGGTGTCATATGATTAAGGGAGAATCATAGACGAAAACAAGGTAAAGTTTGAATATATTTATTCACATATTGATAGAATATTTTCAAGTTGAAAACTAGGCAAAACGCTGTTAAAACGGTGTCATACTTTTCTCCCATTATGTACTCTTGATACACATGCATTCTGTAGGAAGTTTGCTATTAATGATTTGACTGTGTAATATATATGTTATTATTGGTAATTCTGTTTTTGTGCGAACTGGTAAGCGATGATTATTATTTCAAAGCTCATTTGACATGTTTGACATCTTTTGTTTTGGAAATGTAGGTCCCATGACTGGATGTGTCCACTCTGTGGCATTGCAAACCATGATCTCTTGCTTCCAATGACAAGTGTATCCAGTGCTGTACTCGAAGAGGCAAAAGTTCTTGGTACACAGATAGGTTTCAAGGTAGTTGTCTAACTGAATTAAGATACACAGTTTTAGTCATTGTTAGACAAGGTATAGTCTTTACTGATTTGAGTTCATATGGACAGGTTTCACTCTCAACTAGTATGCATTACCTCTGATATAGTCGTATCTACTCTAGCTTGGCCGGCACGCAAGTATACACTAATGGTAACATTGCATTATTCCGTTTTTAGCTCAGCTAACGAAGTCAGATGCAGCTTGTAGAATCGCATGATTATCCGTGCGTCCGTCCGTGCGTCCGTCAACAGTTGGGCACAAATCTTAATCGCTCGATGTACGGTCTTGATATTCGGGACGTCGGGGGGAATCGCGAAAAGGACTCGGGATGTCGAATTTGGGGGTCAGGGGTCAAAGGTTAAGATGTGTCAATGGAGGGGGAATATTTTCCCCTTAACTTAAGGTATAGAAGGAAATACGGAATTGCGGCACAAATCTCAATGGCTTGACTTACGCTCTTAATATTTGATGTATAGTGTGATGGGGAGGAAACCCATCACCAGCGCGAAATTGGAGGCCACAGGTCATAGGGCAGTGGGGGAAAGGTCAGATATCAGACATTTTTTGAGGACATGGTCTAACGGACCGAGTGCAAAACTTTTTTTTATAGCGCTGACCTACCGTTTTTATCACTTTATTGAAAGGACCATGAAATCTACTTTCTGCTGACGTGCGAAGAGTAAGTGTCTGATAACCTTTTGACCCTCAAGAGGAAGGTTAAACATGGATTTGTTGACTGTTAACAAAGGACTGAACTTCTTTTGACCCTCAAGAGGAGGGTTAAACATTGATTTGTTGACGGTTAACAAAGGACTGAACTGATTTTGCTATTATTAGAGCCCATACCTGTGTGAATGTGAGGCTACAGTTGTACAGTTGAATTGCAAAGGCAAATGTTTGTTGAACAAGTTTTATGCTCCTTAAATCATATTATTTTCTAAAGCAGTCTGTCTATAGCACCCTGAAGGCTGAATCAGTGAATGCTCGCGTGGGTAGGCAAAAACACGGGGCAGCCCATGGCTGGCACGCTTCTAATCATAAATTTTGTTGACTGCCAACCTGCAATGCACATGTGTCTGCAATGCATAGAGATTAGGTGGGTGCGAAAGTGTAGCTGATATATTTGTTCGAATTGGCTACGAAAGTCAAACAAGAATAAAGAAGACTTATGTATAAGACGTCTTGCTATGCACAAATGAATTTATCAGCAGAACACCAGACACCAGATGAGCCCTGTCGCACTGCGGCACTTGTTTGTTTGAAATGGGTTAGTCTGGCCAAATACTGACTATGTTTGAATAGTGGCTTCTATTTCAATTTTGTCTGTATAAGTTTGTTGTTTGTGTGGTGTATGCCATGTCATACCTCAGTGAAGCTCACCAAATTGATTATTGTTGCATAGATTGAACAGTATTTTCCCCATTTGTAAGGCACAATCCATGTTTACTTGGGTTTCCTAGCATGCTTATGTGATACTCTTACCAGAATCCATAATATTGAGTTATTAAACCTGTATCATGTATATATGATAGGACAACTTGTTTGAATGGCACTTCACAGTCCGAGGACCTCCAGAAACAGAGTTTCAAAATGGTATTTACCATGGTAGGATCATTCTACCACCAGAGTATCCAATGAAGCCACCAAGCATCATGCTGTTAACGGTAATTGTTTTCTGCATTAAGTCATGCTTAGTTCAGCCTTAATTTCTAAAAAATAACTTGTATAAATGTTGTTAGTGTTTTGTTGTTTAGATACATCCATTCCGTTTAGAGTGAGCAGCTTCTTACTACTGCATTAGTATTAGGTTTTAGTCCTTTGTCAATAGTAAACATGTCTCCTATGTTGTGAAGGTGGCAAATTCATTTTAAATGTAAACACACTGTATTTTTTGGTATCTGTTCCTAAGATAAATCAGTTCACTTCATCGATTCTGGTAATTATTTTATTGGCAAGTGTACCTAGTTATATCTGAGGTTTGTGCTTAATAATATTTTGTTTCTGATATTTTAATATAGGTGAATGGAAGGTTTGAAACAATGAAAAAGATATGCCTGAGTATATCTGGACATCATCCTGAGTCGTGGCAGCCATCTTGGTCAAGTATGCTATCAAATTAATTGTTTCCGTACTATTAGAAGATATTTGCAAATCTAAGTTGAGGTAAGGGATAGTGTTGCTACTTTTGTAGACCTTGAAAGAAAGCATTGTTTTAAGTGCTATCTTCAGTTAAAATATGTTTTAAATGGATACATTGCCCTAGGTTCATCGCATATTTTAAGTTAAAATAGATTTAAATTATGCTACGTAAAATTTTCATTGTTCAATAGTCATTCGAAATTTTTTTTTTATGTTTTAAAACTACAGGCTGTATCGATGCTTGCAATGACGGTGGCGCCACTACTAGCCCATCCGCTTTCAAATTTGCACATAACAACTTTTTGGCTGAAGTCTATAGACTTATTTATTATTTGTTAATTTGAGAGGAGAAGAGCTGTACTATCTTATAAACAACTTTAAAAGTTTCAGTTGTAATATGGCCGAATTTGTCCTTAAATTAAAATCGTTCGATTAAATAGAAGTTTGTTACCTCCGCCAGGGGCTTGGCGGAGGTTATGTTTTCACCGGCGTGTCTTTGAGTGTTGGTTTGTGTGTTTGTTGGTTTGTGTGTTACCATGCACGTTTCAGTTCACTTCCGCTAGGTGCGCTGGCTGTAGACTTACAAACACGCAACCACAGGCTAAGGGGCAACCACAGTTCTCCCCCACCTGCACGCTCGCACTAATCCGGATCCAATTAATTAATTAATTAATTTTTCCACTTAATTAATTAATTAATTAATTAAAAATTTCACATTGAGAGAATTCAGCTGCCTTGGCGGAGGTCTGTGCTCTCCGAGTGCTCTAGTTATAACTATAATTGCACTTTTGTGATTAGACTTCGGTCTGTAACGTGCAAAATAAATCGGAAAAAGCGCAACTTTGTCAGGGTGGCAGCACAATCGCGGGGTGTCATGACAGCAGCAGAAAATTTAGATTTTGAAACTTGGTGTTGCTTTATGACAAATGCGAATGCATGATTATAGAAATTTGTAGGTATATACAGGGGTAGAAATTAACTTTTGAACACGGAAGTCCAACGGACTCCCTACCCTCAAAAAGAGGGAGTCTGCAGCAAAATGAGGGAGTCCAATTTTCTTTGGACATTAGCTGAAAAAATACGGTAATTCCGCGAGGCCGTGCACTGGAACGAACTAGTTAGTGTGGCAGAATTTTCAGGGAGTCACACGGACTCCTGCATATGTAAAATCAGGGAGTCCGGCAGTAAATCGGGGAGTATTTCACTCTGGACTCACGTTAAATTCGCACCCTGTATATACTTTTATTTATGTTTTTATTATCATAATATGCACTAAAATTCTAGGATATAGTTTCCCTTTAATTGTCTTGCGTACTTATTTTTATTGTTCAATAATAATTAGACGTTAACTTTTCATTGATACGTTCCAATTGGGGCATAGTTGTATTTATGGTTGGCAAGTTTGCTTGTGTTGCCTTGCAGTGTTGATATGATTGGAGATGTAGGTGCTTATTTTTTCACTTTATACAGCAGATTGCAGTGACAAAAGGTTTGGAGTATTTCATATTTTATCCATACTATTCTGTGTTTCAGTCAGAACAGCATTGTTAGCAATAATTGGGTTTATGCCAACACCAGGTGGTGGTGCGATTGGTGCACTTGATTACACACCTGATGAAAGAATGATCCTGGCTAAAAGGCAAGTTTTGTCATTAGTTGTTCATTCACACCTGAGCAGGTGCAGCAGTTTAATACACATCAAGAGTACATGATGGGAGAAGAGTATAACACCGTTTTAACAGCGTTTTGCATAGTTTTCAACTTGAAAATATTCTATCAATATGTGAATAAATATATTCAAACTTTACCTTGTTTTCGTCTATGATTCTCCCTTAATCATATGACACCACCAATTTACCTGAAAATCGTATGTGTTCTTCAAAAAAGTTTTTTGAATATGACACAGTTTTCCCAACCATTCGCATCTCTTTGACCAAACTTTGTTATCGGATTAGTGTTCTATTGTCTATGACAGAACGCTGGGGGCTGTTGGGGATATTAGGCATCAAATTGCATTCAGCGTGTATTGCGTTTCTAGCGTGCTAAAAATAAATGTGTGCTCACGGCGAGCTAGCAGCTGATTTTAGCTGTGTTGCCATCGGTGTTCCTGATGATAAGGAAGCGAAACAAGTGCTGTTACTGTGCTTACCTAATATCCCCAACAGCCCCCAGCGTTCCGTCATAGGCAATAGAACACTAATCCGATAACAAAGTTTGGTCAAAGAGATGCGAATGGTTGGGAAAACTGTCGTCGTATTCAAAGAACTTTTTTGAAGAACACATACGATTTTCAGGTAAATTGGTGGTGTCATATGATTAAGGGAGAATCATAGACGAAAACAAGGTAAAGTTTGAATATATTTATTCACATATTGATAGAATATTTTCAAGTTGAACACTTAGGCAAAAACGCTGCTTAAACGGCTGTCATACTTTTCTCTTCATTATGTACTCTGATACCAGTGCATATCTTGTAGGAAGTTTGCTATAATGAATTTGACTGTGTACTATATATGTTTCTTATTGGGTAATTCTGGTTTTGTATGCGAACGATGGTAAGCCGCATGATTATTATTTCAAGGCTCATTTGACATGTTTGAACATCTTTTGTTTTTGGAAAATGTACGTCCCATGACTGGATGCTGTCCACTCCTGTGGCATTGACAAAGCCATGACTCTCTTTGCTTCCAATGACAAGTGCTATCCAGTGCTGTAACTCGAAAGCAGGCAAATTCTTGGTGACACGATAGGTGTTCGCAAAGGGTAGTTGTCTAACTGATTTAAGCATACACAGTTTTTAGTCATTGTTAGACAAAAAGGTATTAAGTCTTATCTGATTAGAGTTCATATGGAAGGCTGTTCACTCGTCACACTCAGTAGCATTACCGCTGAATATCAGTCGATATCTACTTCTAGCTTGGCCGGCACGCAGTATTCACTAATGGGTACATCTGCATTATATCCTAGTTTTTTTAGTCACGCTAACGAAGTCAGTATGCAGCTTTGTAGAATCGCATGCTTGATCCGTGCGTCCGTCCTTGCGTCCGTCAACAGTGCGGCACAAATTCGTTTAACTCGCATCGATTGTCTACGGTCTTTGTATATTCGGGACGCTCGCGGGGGGGAATCGCGGAAAAGACTCGCGGATTGTCGAATTTGGGGGGTCAGGGATCAAAGTGTTAATATGGTGTCAATGGAGGCGAGAATTATTTTCCCCTTAACTTAACGGCGTATAGAAGGAAATACGGAAATTGCCAGGCACCAAATCTCATTGGCTTGACTTTACGCTCGTCCAAATATTCGATGATATAGCTTTGTGATGAGGCGAGTAAGACCAATTCACCACGCCCGAATTGGAGGCCAGCAGGTCAGCTAGGGCTAGTGAGGGCGCAAAGCGTCAGACTATCAGACCATTTTTTGTAGACAATGCGTCTAACGGACGAGCTGCAAAACTTTTTTTATAGCGACTGACCTACCGTTCTTTATCACTTGTATTGAAAGAGACCATTGAAATCATACTTTCTTGCTGACGCTGCGCACAGAGTAAGTGTCTGATAAACACTTTTCTGCACCCTCAAGAGGAAAGGGATAAACATGGATTTCTTGGAACTGTTAACAAAGGACTGAATCTGCTTTTGTCTATTAGAGCCCGTTCCCACCTAGCCTTCCCCCAATCTATCCCCCTCCCCCACCCTCCACCCACCACCACCACTAATGCCGCTGCTCGACGCCTATCCATGATAACTGTTATATTGCGAGAAAGTGCATTAAGTTTAACACATGCTGTATCTTTATTACTGTACTACCGAGTAGGTATAGCCAAGCCTGTCATAGATTTTTAGATCTGTTAATCTAGTAGTATCCTAGATATATGCCTCTGGAGCACGTAACGCGGTGGCAGGAGGGCGCACTTGATTCGGTTGCCAGTGAGTTTATCAGAAGAATACCTGGCTACAGTACACGTCAGTTGAGCGCTGTCGCTCTGCGGCACTTGTTTAAGTTAGCTTGAGCAAAAATGGCAGCCATATTTTGATAGTACTTTTAAAAACAATGTTACTATTTACAAACCAATTATAGGTCTAAGCACAGTGTTCATATTTTACATGTAGGTAGGTTATATGAGATGTAACCCGGAATTGCGACTGCAATCGGAATTAATTGGCTAAAAGTCAAATATTTTCTTTCATAAAGGTATAGAAGAATCATTGTTCATCTGTACAATTGTATTACAGTTATAAGCAGCTGCTGTACCTGTATTGCTTTTTTAATTTCCTGGATACAGCGTCATGGTGATAAAATCAATTCTTATTGCAATGATTACGAAATTTATTTGGCTATTACCATCAGAAGAAAGAGTGGTACTAGCATCTGCAGCAGCCATAAGAGCAATAGATGTTTAAGAGTTGTAGTAGCCATGGCATCAGCAATGGCAGGAGTGGTAAGAGCAGCAGCAGTAGCATGAGTACCAGAGTAATTGTTTTAAAAGTAAATGCTGTTGCTCTGCTACAAGCTATAGGTGAATTAAAGTCGCACTATAAGTCACATTCGATTGTTCTATGGAACAGTGATGATTTTTAGTTTGTACCCATTTTATGCCTACGTACATGCAGTTATTATATATACTATATATATACTACGTAATTATATAAATTCAGTTTTTTAATAGGCTCTACACATTCGTGAGTAAGCACATACGAGCAGCATGCCATTTCATGTTTACTTGTGCATTTGATTGCAGGCTGAGGCCAGCATGACTCCAAACAGTAGTAGTCAGTCTGTTTCAAAACATCCGAGTGAAACATCTCATAGTCAACAAAGTTCCAACGAATCTACTGACACTCTCCAAGAAACTGCATGCCTTGGACCTTCATCGCCTGTCCCTGACTGCACAGAAACTACAGCAGGTGGCAGTGACTTAAATACAACAGACCACAGCTCACGGCAACCATGTTTACCGGTGACGTCACCTGAACAGAATGACCAGACTGTGCAGTCTCCCAGTGTGCAGGGAAAGCCGACCGTGAATGCCCAGAGCCATTCATCGGTGGGTAACCATCCTGCGTCCCATGTTCGTCAGCGCGTAGCTCCAACAACGATGCAAGTCAATTACAGCCAAATGGGAGGCATGGTGGAGCAGAATGGCAACGGTTCTTCATCGATCATAGCAATGATCGTTTTGTCTCTTGTCATTGCTGTGCTCGTCGCTCGCAGAATGTGTACAAGCCTGCCATGGCATTTAGATATGACCGAACCGTAATGTGACACGAAGTCTGGTGCTCCGGTTAAGTGTTAATGCTGTATTAGTCATCGTTACTGGCCTCGCGTAGAATAGAAGTGAATGACATTGTTTGTTTCAACAATGATGAAAATACGTGTATAGGTCATTGCATGTACGAAATGAATTACTATCCTGATGCTATTACGGTTTGGAAGTTAATGGTCATGATCCAATGTTGAGATGTTAATTCCTGTGAACCTGTAACGTTATCCTGGTGTCATTAGGTTTGTTATAGTTGCATACTTGTCAATGACAATCTATTACCTGTTTTTATTTATACAGAAGTTTTCATGTCAATGCTTATAAAGATTTTGCTTTATGAAAATATATTTTGTTTGTGAAAATCAAGGGATAATAATCATTAGTCCTTAGAGTGATGCATGGCAGTATGTTTTATTGTGGGTTGGCATAATAGATGTGTTTATTATGGTCACGGTGTTTTGATGTATAGCTGGAGCAATTTACCAAATAACCACAGACTACCAAAAAATATCAGGAATATATTTAATTGCTGCTGATTATGTTAGACAAAGGATGTTATCTTGTTTGCTTGTCTATGCGAAGTGCATGAAATCATGCATACATGCTCTGTCAATATGCTTTTTATCTAGTGAACATAGACTAAAATAGCAGATTGAAGAAATCTGGTCTTGAAATGTGAACTTAAGTGAATAGCGAAGGCCGTTGTGGGCTGTGTATGGGCGTCCTGTATGGTGTTTGGGTGTTGTTGATGGTGTGTGGCGTTGTTAATGGTGTGTGGCGGATTGTGTGGGGCTGATGGTGTGTGGCGGATTGTGTGGGGCTGATGGTGTGTGGCGGATTGTGTGTGGCTGATTGTGTGGGGCGGATTGTGTGGGGCTGATGGTGTGTAGCGGATTGTGTGGGGCTGATGGTGTGTGGCGGATTGTGTGGCGCTGATGGTGTGTGGCGGATTGTGTGGCGGATTGTGTGGGGCTGATGATGTGTGGCAGATTGTGTGTGGCTGATGGTGTGTGGCGGATTGTGTGGGGCTGATGGTGTGTGGCGTTGCGGATGGTTCTTTAGAACTCTTAAACTATAACTGCACTGACCGTGTTTAAAGCTATCTTAGTAAACGAAAGTAAAATATAATATTAAAAATTGTACTGGAATAGGCTATTCAATTGGGTTTGCGGAGTGACGTATCAGTTGCAAGTCCGTCACAAGTAAAAAGTTACCATTCAAGCACCGTATCGTCCTAAATTATTGCCTATATTATAGTACCCAGATGAATCATCCAGATGGTTTACTTTTGAAATATATTCCGTGAAACCCTACTTTCTACATTGAATATTAGTTTCTTTAGTTGCACTGGTACGGTTCACTAATCTGTACGTGAAACACACACGCAGACACGCACGCACGCACGCGCGTAGATACATGCACACGCACGCGCACACACACGCAAACAGATACACACACACGCACGCGCGCGCGAGGTAATTGTGAAGCTGGTTTTGACCCAGTTATGCGGAGAGAGCATGACTTAAATATAAATTTGATTAGAGAAATGAAGATTGTTCGTGTTTTATATCCGCTGTGAATACGCAGAATATATGCTCTAGTGATCTATGTTATCTAACTACCGAGCTGTCCTGCCTCTGGCATTGACGTCAGAGTCAAAGACGTCAATCGTTACCAGCTAGCGCTCCCTTCGACCAAAAGCACCAACTCCGATTGTCTTCGTTTTGCCCGTATATGTCCCAGGAGGCTATCGATTAATTTTCGTCGTTGCCTTCCTCTTGTTCACCTCCCGTCTAATTTTTCTCTCAGGCTCAGATGCTCGTTGCAATGCCTCCTCATCCTCAGGACGTGCCCCTATGAGAGAACGTGCAGTACGCGAGATATAATGCCGTGCGGAATTGCCGCGTCTTGCAGGCTTCCCGAGTCTGGGCATCACCGTACTCCCGCCCACCGGTTATGGTTCCAAGTAATTGGCGATATAGGCTGTAACGGTCGCTCTGTGGTAAGCTATCTCGCCTGGTGAGCTGAACAAGTCGAGAGTAGTTACGAAGAAGCTCACTTTTAATGACGATTACAAGTACGTCAATCTGCGGCATGTGTACGTAGATACGACAGTATCGTGTACGGCAGTTGTTGCGTAGCCATCAACCGAATAAAACAGTGGAACTGGCGTGACAACAAGGTGTGTGGCACCCGGGGCCGGGCAAACCTGGCGCTTAAAGGTAATTGGGCGACAGAGTAGACTAACAATGTCGTTAGTCTATGGCGCCGCAGTGAAAGGAAACTAGAGACGTCATTACGTATTACCTCAGGATTGTTCATGAATCACAGCCAGCATTATTAATGAGAACGGCAACGTTTCCTCGCTTGGTTGGAATCCCCGTGTCCGCCAGGTGGAGCTAACCGTCAGCAAACGACTGTGCGCAATAGATAGATGTTATAGTACCTATTTATTAACCACCAGATCAAATTATTGTGAATATATAATTATAACGAATTGAAGAAGCGCGATTGTGTTGGACAGAATAGTTGATATACTATGTGACTGTATTGTTGGTCTGTGAGTCGTTCAGAAATCGTAGTGAAAATTTATAATTGGTCACACTTGAAAAATATCATCACATTTTCAATATTTGAATCATTTAAAATCAGATTTGTGTGTGCGCATGCGTGTGTGCGCGCGCATGCGTTCGTGTGTGCATGCGTGCGTGTGCGCGTGCGTGCGTGCGTGTGTGTGCGTGTGCGCGTGCGTGCGTGTGTGTGTGTGTGTGTGTGTGTGTGCGCTCGTTTGCGTATGCGCTCATGTTTTTACTTTTTAAATATGTTGCATACTCCTCCAGTATATGTGATCATCCGAATAGTATTGGTAAGTATAGTAAAAGGCAAAATTGCAAGAGATTTCTGTTCATACATGCCTAGTATATGCAAAAATAAGTATTCGGTTTTGAAAAAATACCTTGAAAATACAGAACGAATACTGAAAAGTAATTTTCTATGAAAAGGGGCAATTCCGAAGCAATTTAAAGATGTAACTTTCCCGAATATAAGCTTTAGTATACACGGTTATATAGGATATGTATCCGCGGTCGCATGCTCTATTTCACCAACAGGACTATTATTTTGTTGAACTCATACATTTAATACAGAAAGAATCGTCAGTAAGCAACCATGAAAAACATCCATACCAATTTCCTTATAATATATATAGCATAATAATTATGATTAAATCTCTGTTATTGCATGCCCAGTGTGTTCCGAACCAGGTATTGTTTTTAATTAAACATATTTATTACTTATTATTGTTTGCTATTTTAGAGTTATTATTCTTGTGCCTTCTCAAGCATTACATGCGTGATTGAATACAACATTACATTGTAATAGTGATTCACAACGGGGACGATATTTAGGCCTACGGCCAGCGGTGCTATGGTGGATACTAAAACATATCAACACGTAGCATGCGCGGCTTACAAAATATAGAACAAAGCGCGCGAGGCCAAACACTTGCATGTGGTTTTAATTCAAGCATGTGTTATTTATACAAGTAAAATTCTAGCAACTAAATTCAAATATGAACAAAATATGAATTGAGAGTAATTTATTTCAATTATATTTTATTGTTATCATATCAAACTACTCGTTAGTATGCGCGCTATAATCTAATACCCAGTACAGGATGCAAATTTGATCTTACATCAAACTGGCCAAAGCCAGACGCGCGCTAAATCGCAGCGTATACAGACACAAAATACGCAATACACATTTTGTGTACGCGTTATCCCGGGTTATATATACGCGCTACTCCGGTCTAATACCCCGCACAGACTGCAAAATTGGATCCTACATAGAGTCATAGACGCGCGTTAAATCACAGTGCGTAGGCAGAGAATAAATAGGCCCTACCAGAGCACGTATATCATAATAATACGTGCTCTATAGTCTATATATAAATACTTAACCGGGCAAGTTATCACGGGTAGACTGCGCATGCTCAGTTTAGTTTGGTATGTCACGAAGTAGATAGCAATGACGGTTAAGCAACAGCATCGCCGATATTCTTTGTCTATGCTTAGCCCGGTTGAGGATTGTGTGTCCGTGCGCAGCGTTTGGCGTTGGCGTATATCTCCGAACTCGTTGGATGTACGATCAAATTTCGCAGTATATACAGAGTGAAAATGTGTTTTGTTGAAAAATACCTGGAATGCGAGAATACAGATTATATGCAATGTTAGAGTACAGGAAATTTAGGAAGATTGGGTTCCTTAGAAACATTTGGATAGCATAATTACTTTTTTACGGGTTGGAAGAAATAAACCGCACACGGAATACGAGTTGACTGAATGGGTAAATTTGCTTCAACATATACTAATGAAATTTGTTGTATGACTGCCTGCCAGCCTCTCCGCCCCCCTTGCGCCCCTACCCCTTATGGATTACACTGTCCTGTTAATCACATAACTCTCCAAGTAAGCGCCGGGCACAAACCGTGCGTGACGCGACGTGACAGAATTACAATGTTACTACGTGTAACCACCTGTGGGTGCAAACCAAATTCCCAATATCTCTTTGTCTCTACCCTGTTGTGTCTTTTTAGTGGTAGTGGTGGTAGCTTCAATTATACTGTCCCAAGAATTGTTTTGAGGCATATGAGCTTTTGAAACGGGTTGCCAGAAAATATTCTGAGAACGGAAGGCATGCGGCGCCCATCAATGATGACTTGCAAAATATGACCGAATCGAACAAAGTACTTGCGCAATCTCGCGAATCAATATGAGTATAGCGTTGAACGTGACTAGGTCAGACCTTGATAAAACGATGCAACTCCGGGCGAGGTCTCTCTCAGTTTTCACCCTATAGTCTGGAGTAATAAACATTTGAGACGTGACGAGCCGATACAATTGTCGTTACTGACACACTTGTTGCGCGCTGAGTCATTCGCTGAAACAAACACTCTATCCGTTTCGAACTTTATAAACCGTAACGGCGAAGGTGAGGGTGACGGTGACAGTGACGGTCACGGTCACTGTGGCAATAGCAACAGTGTTTGCCATTGACGACTCAGTAAAAGAATGAGTTACGGGGTGAGCTAACGAGCAACCGATAGTTACTGTTGCGTAACCCAGCAGCTTCTCAGTCCCTCAACTTCCACCAAATGTTCGAATGCTTCGTTTGACTGTTATATCGACGAGTGTGTAACGATGACATTCGAAGCACCATATGGGATGCTCTGGATTAGGAAAGAAATTCTACGTAATACATAGAGCTAAACACACAAAGTTTCATCAGGGCTAGAAACGGAAAACGCTAGAACTTAACTGGAAATATAACATACACGAACGTATGCAGACACGCACGCGCGCACGTGTTAACGAACGCACGCATGCACGCTCTCTCTCTCTCACACACACACACACACACACACACACACACACACACACACACACACACATGCACACACAAACACACACGCGCGCACGCGCGCACGCACGCACGCACACGCACACGCACACGCACACGCACACGCACACAGGAGAATGGACATAGGACACAACACATAGGACACGGACACATAGGAATAATTAACTCTCGCCGTAGTCTTAATTCGTCGCGATGAGCTTAATTAGTCATGCATGTGTTTTGTTTCGCAGAGCTCACGGTTCATTGGTCACACGTCAAACGGCCGAGATTGAATGACAAAAGACAAGTCGCATGTGACCTCTGAGGATAGTTAGCTGAATTTTCAGAAAAATGTGTGAAATTCCTGTGAACCGAAACCTATAGTGACATACCTTGCATCAAGGTGATCCATCATGTCGTGAGTGCGCGCTGGTAACTAATAATTATCCAAGTATAAAGATCGAGCTCAACAATGGCTCGACAGGATTAACTAAGATTACTAGCTAAAATAGGCACGACGCTAAAAGTAGTTCTTTAGGTAGAAGTTCTGAAAGTAAATGAGTGGTCTTATTATGTGATGTAACTGCTGTTCTACACTTATGCTTCTTGTGAATCTGGAAACACCACTTTGTTTATACAATCGTAATTTCCAAAGGTCAAATTGCTGTTTTAATACTTCTAAATTAATAACTAATCATAAGAGCTGTAATACACATAGTGTGATTGTCAGACTAGACCTGCTATCTGCGTAGGGCAAAACCAATGGGCAAAACCATTGTGATACTGTTATTATTTGGGTCTGACGATTTTCTGCGGTTGCTGTCCGAAACTCACGTACTTAATTGTACATAATGTACCTTGGTACATTTCATAATTGAGCTCGAATATGAATATATATATAAACAAAGCATAAATGTGGTGCTCACGAGATCCGGAAAGGCGCGAGCAGCAAAGCAACAGATGAATGAATAGCAAGGTATGCTTCCATAAACACTTACTCACACCTACGTGTGCTCACGCGTAAAGGGTTGTCTATACGTGTATTCATGAGTGCATATAAACTATGTGGTAGATTCGTATCACGTTCTTAATACGGGATGCCGGGCACAGGTGATTTCTAACTTTACATGTCACCAATATCCTTCTCGCTACTGGACGTTTATTGCATTGTTGGCACCAATAATACAAACTTCAAGGTTTACACGCCTATGCCGTTGTTAGCGATTAAATTAATGCCTAGAGGAAAGAATTTGGAGGTCGCAGCAAGGAGGAGAGGCTGGTTAGTGTTCGCCCACGCCTAACGACCGCGGCTACAAAAGGGCTCAGACGGTGGTCCGTCATCACAAGCACCGGCCAAGCAGAGCCCACAGTCACGCGACGAAGAACTGCGGTAAGTTGGACTGGTCGTTGCTTTTAATATTTACAAACTTTTCATTGTATGTTATTATGGTTTGTTTAAGTGCTCCACTGAGTGTATGTGTAAGTCTTGGTTTCTCGCGTTGAATTCATTCAGCAATGCGTTGCTGCTCACCAAATTTGCATTTTTTTATTATCGACCCCTAACTATAATTATTATTTCATATTTCCGAAGTTTCATGCCCCACCCGTTGATGGCATCCCATCTTTTTATGATATGTGTTTAGTGGGGTAGATACAAGTTATTCGCAATTGCGTTCCTGTAAAGTGTGTATATCATGCTTATATAAGCGTGACTATAAGTGAAACGACGCTAAGGAAAGCGAATTTTCCTATATAAAAGAATTAGGATGGGTTTTAGAAAATATTTCATAGCGATACAAAATCAATATATAGCTTGGTTAGGGGTTGGTGTGGTGAAGTGATGTGGATTATTAGGTGACATTTCGATTTCGGAGTTATCGAGTGGCATATATTCATATGTTTATTTATGCGGCCTGGTTGGAATTAGGTATTTAATCATGTATGATGCACTACGTAGGCGCCGTGGTAACAATGAAACTATATCAAGAAGAAGATATACATATTCACTGATATGTTCTTATCATACAATAAGGCGTATGTCATAGTAAATGGCTCACAATTGGATAATAATACGTCTTTGTTAGCCTGTCTACAAAAGGGAGCTATTGCCACCTGACCTGCTATGTTACTTAATGTTTCACCTATTATTATAGATAATTTATACTATAAATTTATATACATCTGTTTATTAGATGATGGCATGCGTGCGCATATTTTTTGTTGATAGGCCTATCGTACGTATTAGATTATGCTAGCAACTGCAAGAAGCCACATTAAAAACCATGGGTATCATTTGCTGACATTACTCTAACAATTAGAATGACGAGGCAGGCTCACTGGGTAATCGGAAAGTCCATTTCGTTTTATGTGGGTCAGTGAATTAATTACTGCAGTGTGGACGCATAGCGCCAGCCGTCCGATGTTTAGAACATGATGCACGCAAATACCGCTTGTAATTTTACAACCACGAGATAGCTGACACGCCTCGTCTATTCTTATGAAATCGTGTTTGTGCGGTGGGAACCTGTAGTTACTCCAACCTGACGGATCACGTGGATGTTAACAGTCTTGCCTCCCGAAGGCCAGTCTGTGTCTATCATTGTAACTGCGCTGACTTTGCCAGGGTCTAATTGCTATGCTCTCGCTCAACATAGACAAGGATGTTATTTTTAACGCCCTTCAAATGGGTGACTAATATATACTAGCTATGCGTTCAGCATTTGAATCTCTTATAGCAGCTTGTAACAAAATAGGGCGAACAATCACCTGGGTTATGCATGTATAGCTACTACAGTTGACGTGAGAATCTCCGTCAATATCTTAGCGCGAAATATATTTCC